ACCCAATCAGGATGCTATCATCAAGGATCCAGTTACATAATGACAGCGTTGATTGCACCTGAAGCCAAAATACCAGCATCGCTGTTAATCTAGAGCCAAAAATATCACAATTGGTTAATAGTGACCGGTCGCAAGCTACTACACCTGAAAATAGGTGCATGTTCTTCTTTTTTTGCTATCGAAAGATATAATGCGATGGTCTCATACACACGAACTACACTGCGAATATTGTCATCACCTGCAATAAGATGTACCTACCCTGTTCATTTGTGTCACACGTAATTCCCGACCTCAACAATGCAGTGCAGGTTTCTCGCAGCTGCCTCTTTTAGGTTTCTTGTGCATCTCATATACCTTATGCTGCGTAGAGCCGAGGATTGTCACTGCAGCAATAAACTTTTTAATCAAATAAGTCACTCCACGCTTTGATTTGAAGTCTCCTGCAGCTGACGGAGGGAATCGTTGTTCGAAACACCCGAGCGTCGCGCGTGAGCTCGTGAGCTCGCGCGCTGAGCTCCGTGCTCTTTTTGCGAGTGCACCGGCATGTCACCTTGCTAGATTCAGATGTTTATCGTCACGCGCCGAAGACAATTGCTCGTGAGTTTAGCATTGCTGCGAAGGCACCAGCTCAAGTTTTCAGCGAGTTGTTAGCTTTGCCGTGGACCAGACCACCGCACTGGACCTGAGGTCGGACTGAGCGCAGCGGGGGATGCATCTGACCGCAGAACAAATAAGACATCACCCGTGGACCAGGCCACCGCACTGGACCTGAGGCTCGGTTGAGCGCAGCGGAGGGATATATCTGACCGCAGAACAAATAAGACATCACCCGTGGACCAGACCACCGCGCTGGACCTGAGACTCGGTTGAGCGCAGCGGAGGGATATATCTGACCGCAGAACAAATAAGACATCACCCGTGGACCAGACCACCGCACTGGACCTGAGGCTCGGTTGAGCGCAGCGGAGGGATATATCTGACCGCAGAACAAATAAGACATCACCGTGGACCAGACCACCGCACTGGACCTGAGGCTCGTTGAGCGCAGCGGAGGGATATATCTGACCGCAGAAACAAATAAGACATCACCCGTGGACCAGACCACGCACTGGACCTGAGGCTCGTTGAGCGCAGCGGAGGGATACATCTGACCGCAGAACAATAAGACATCACCCGCTGGACCAGACCACCGCACTGGACCTGAGGCTCGGTTGAGCGCAGCGGAGGGATATATCTGACCGCAGAACAAATAAGACATCACCCGTGGACCAGGCCACCGCACTGGACCTGAGGCTCTGTTGAGCGCAGCGGAGGGATATATCTGACCGCAGAACAAATAAGACATCACCGTAACGCCGACAACGGGAGCGTTGTCGCCCGGTGCTGTCGGAGAGGGAGGCCCACTATCTGCGGAATGCAAATTATTCGGGACGGCGTGCAACAAGACTCATTGACTTGCTCAAGCACTAGAAGACATGGCGGGCTTCCCAGTTCGGCCGATGCGTGCGTGTCGCGCCCGTCTGCGCCTTGCGGCGAGTTATGACACGGGACGCGGCATTCATGGGGAGTCGGCGGTGACGGTGTTTGACCTGGGACGCGCTGCAACGGGGAGCGATTTAAGTGGACGAGGTCCAGCACAGGAACCTGCTATTAAATTGCAACCATATTCTGAAACGCTAAGATATGCCGAGGTCGTCTAAGCGTGGATATTGAGATTGCTGTATGTGCAAGCAAAGTTCAAGAGGGGGCGATTTTGCTCCCCTCGAGTTTGCCGCTGTTTTTTTTCCGAAACGGCTTGAAGCAGGTTATGGACATTTTTGCAGTTTTCCTAAGCATTTTTCGTATGCACTATGTCGAAATTTAAGGCGTATGGCGTGCGTAAGGACGGTTTAAAGGCTCAGTTTTGGGATGACTTCCAGCGAAATTTGGTGATCATGCTAATGTGGTTTTCGCCATGGGATTGTACACGCTGCCGTGCGTTTACAGGAGTTATTGTTGTTTCCGATGAATCAAACAGCTGCACCACGGGTGTCGCCATTTGAGTAACTCAAGGCATGACAGGAGTGGTGCTGAAGCTCGAAAAAGGATATCGATTCAGTGTGAAGAGTGTTGGGGGTCGTCAAAGAAGGCATAGTTATAAGGAATGCTTACCGTTATAAGGAATACCGGCGTTTTTGGCAGTTACCAGAGTAACACTAGATTGACAAATATTCTTCCATCGTGTAGCGTAATTCGATGCGAGCAAATATTTGAAAAAGGCCAGGTGGTTGACCTATACAGAAATTATGGCGATCCGATGAGCACAGGTTCACAATACAATTACCCAGGAAAGGGAGTAATATAACGTTTGTGCATGCGTCGTTTTTGGTACTGACCAGAATGACAAGAAAGGGCATTTTCATGCATTTTCATACACTTTCATCCATAAAGGATTGCATCCCGCGAGCTCAGGTTTTAAAAACGGACATGTGGTTGGAACCCAGCAGGATTCAGCTTTGGGTTCGACATCAACAGGGCCGGACGTGTCCAAAGGTTATCAAGCATTTCAACTTCAGGAGCGCTTTCAGGGTTTGGGGCGAAATTTTCCTGTGCACAACGCTCATTAGTTCCATGCGCAGCACATAAATTTTAGAGGTGACGCACCTTTGCACTCAAGAAGCAAGCGTGGGGTACCCCACCTTTCACACTGCCAAGGCATAAGGGATACCGCATCAAGACCTCGCCGGCAATTGACACTCGGTGGACACTCTCGGGGACACATTACCAGTACACTGCACACCCGAGCTATATTACGGATTCTGCAATGAATGATTGACCATTATATGAATTCTGCATGCGTATAACTCTGCTGAATATTTGAATTCAACACTTCATGTAAAGCACACCTTTACGATATTCACAGTGATGCTGACCATGCACAGTAGGCCTTGTGCCGTGCGCATGTGCGCGTGATGTGCACTCCGTCATTTCCGCGTCTGAAAACCGGATCAGGTACAAGGCAGAGACACCGCGCTAGCATGTTTTTCTTATTGTTCTGCGAGGTCCCGACGCTGGAGCGGAGCCGGCCATTACAGACAAACATCCTCAGAAAACAGCTATTCTTAGAAAACAGTCTAGAATTGGGCAGGCATGCGAGCAATAAAGGGGTTGGTGTGGCCTTGTGAAAACAGCCTAAGACTGGCGAAACGGCCACACATTTTACACATATACATTTCATGTACTACATTTACAGGTACGCGGACACAAACCTACACAAATGCCACGAACAAGAATCTCCCTGAAAACGTCCAGATGCGTGCTATAGTAGCAATCAAAGATCGCCAAATTTTCGTGTTTTTCGCCGCTGTATGCGAGAGGAATGCACGCCCCTTTAACTTTCCAGTAATTGTATTTTACAACTACGGCGTTGCATAACAAGGGGCACCTTCGAAAACCTCACTGCCCCCCCCCCCCCCAAAGTTTACAGCTGTAAATCAACGGAGAAAGTGTATGTTTTCTGGTGACAACAGTGCTCGGGTGACCGGTTGAATGCGATGGTGTCAGGGGGTGATGGCGGGAGAGGCGGAGGGCAGGGGGCGGGGCAGCCTGGCCCCGTGATGTCTCAAAAGCAAAGAGATCTAGGAACATCACATTCACAGGGTGAGCATGGTTTATATGAGCTCACTCGTATTAAATTTCAAATTTGTTTGGTCGCGATCTTCGGGTCAAATCAGGCTAAGCAAGGTTCGACTAAAAATCGTTGTTCCATCTGCCCTCAGACCTCCCCATAAAACCAGCCTTAACACACGCTCGGGTAGGGGGTCAAATTGACCCCCCTGAATTTTTTTCCAGAATGGCTTCCGAACGGCGCGGCGTAGCAGCGCCAAATTTTGCATAGCTGTAGACAACTGAATAGCAGATTGTTTGACATGAGCATTCAGATGTACCTTGTAAGGTCGCCGACCTATGGCAGGTCAAAGTCAGACCATGATTTCAGCGAAGGTAATTTCTAGGGAATCGTTCAATCTTACACAACGGAGTGTTGACGAAGCCATACATCTCTGAGATCTTTTCTCAGGCACCACAAATATTGAATGAGTAAATTACGCTGACCTAAGGTCAGGTATGAGGGTCAGACCAAGGTAAAAACCAACCCGATTTATTACTTTTGGGCTTGCTGTATGGGATAGTTTCTGGTGCTCATTCCGAACTTATTGACAGCAGGAACGGCATTATGCATCTTCCATTGACTTCTTAGAGGTCAGAACCGGTCATTGACCTGAGATGACCCGGATCGATATTTTGTTTTCGGAACATACTGCCTGGCGTAATCTTTGTCGCTTATTCAAATGCAAAACTCAGAGCAGTCTTGTATGATTTTGGTCACCATGAACTTGAAAAGGTCGAACAAGGTCCCTGACCTCAAATGGTCTTGTAACTTTTTGCTTACAATCAGTTGCCTAGGTTCTGGGGCACTTTGGAGACCAACCTGGAATTTGGCCTTGTTTGACCTTATTTGACCTGAAGGTCATGGCCTAGGAAGCTCAAACTCTGACCCAAGTGATTTCAAGTACAGGTCAACACACCCTGTAAATTTAGTATCTCTGGCTTTCTTAGTTCCCGAGATCTCACGGGGGTGTCAAATTGACCCTTCCCCACCCGAGCGAAGGGCATCTTGCCGGTCACCCGGGTGCGTGTTAACTTAGATTTATTTTATGACGAAAAGTTAACTGATGTTTGTATCAGGTCGTAATTTTGCGTAGAGAAGGTAATATATTGGTATGGTGACATCATTTGACATCACGAAGGTAGAAATGAACAAGAAGTTTGCTAAAATTTTGAGGCTTCAATTTATGATCGGCGCCAAGTTCTAATCAAAGGGAAGACAGCTTACTTCTCAAAACGAAAGGTTGGTCGAGATCATTTGCATTAGTAATCTACCTGACCTCAATGAAATTAAAATATGAAGTTCATTGATGGCGTTATGATTCACGACTTCTAATCAGCGTCAAAGTCCTCCTCATGCAACATGTTTTCCAATTATAGAGCGGTTTGGTCATAATCTCGACGTGAGCTTCATGCCTGGTCCAAGGTTAAATGAGCTACCCGTAATACTAAATCAGTTACCCTGTGGTCTTAGAAAGCATTTCGGAGTTACCTGATTTCGCCTGACACTCAGATGTCGCATCATATTGAACGATTCCTTGCGAATTTGTTTCCATGCCAACCATGACTTGACTTTGACCTCAGATAGGTTAGTGAACTTACAAGGTACGTCTAATTTTGCG